TGCGGCACACGTATTGTGGGAACGAATAGGAAAGCGCTGCCAGGACAAATCCCACCAGCCCTCTGGGCGTCGGTGGTTTAGGGCGTTTCCTCTTCCACCCCTCCCTCTTCCCCTTCGGGGAGGGGTTTACCCCTCCCCCTACCCCCTCCCCACTGACCTGGACGGGGGGGGCCGCGAGCGGTCAGAGCGTCCAAAACGGCCTCGGCGAGGAAGCCAAAATCATTGATTTTCCTATGGTTTTGGCCCCATTTTGGCCTTCTGAGGGGGCAGCGCTAATCCGCCGGCCCCCTTGTGGGGCCACCAGGCTGCGAGGAGCGGGATTCGCAGGTTCCTGTGCCAGTTGTAGCTTGTAGTCTCCAGTGTTACAGTTCTGCTTCTTGCTGGTTACTGTAACTAGTTGATTGACCGCGCGAGGGGGGGGGAGGCCCAAACCAGATTTTTAGCACTCCCTGGGCGCGTTGTCTGAATTGCTGGGGGGGCTCGAAATCTACACCCCTCACGCAGATCCGCGGGGTCAGGGTCCAAAAACACAAAGGACTTGCCACATTTCTGAAATTCGGTGCCACCCCTCACGCAGATCCGCGGGGTCAGGGTCCAAAAACATAGGGATTTGCTACATTTCTGAAATTCGGTGCCACCCCTCACGCAGATCCGCGGGGTCAGGGTCCAAAAACACATGGGATTTGCCACATTTCTGAAATTCGGTGCCACCCCTCACGCAGATCCGCGGGGTCAGGGTCCAAAAACACAGGGGATTCGCCACATTTCTGAAATTCGGTGCTACCCCTCACGCAGATCCGCGGGGTCAGGGTACAAAAACACAGGGGATGTGCCACATTTCTGAAATTCGGTGCCACCCCTCACGCAGATCCGCGGGGTCTGGGTCCAAAAACACAAGGGATTTGCCACATTTCTGAAATTCGGTGCCACCCCTCATGCAGATCCGCGGGGTCTGGGTCCAAAAACAAAGGGGATTTGCCACATTTCTGAAATTCGGTGCCACCCCTCACGCAGATCCGCGGGGTCAGGGTCCAAAAACACATGGGATTTGCCACATTTCTGAAATTCGGTGCCACCCCTCACGCAGATCCGCGGGGTCAGGGTCCAAAAACACTAGGGATTTGCCACATTTCTGAAATTCGGTGCCTCACGCAGATCCGCGGGGTCAGGTTCCAAAAACACATGGGATTTGCCACATTTCTGAAATTCGGTGCCACCCCTCACGCAGATCCGCGGGGTCAGGGTCCAAAAACACAAGGGGATTTGCCACATTTCTGAAATTCGGTGCCACCCCTCACGCAGATCCGCGGGGTCAGGGTCCAAAAACACAGGGGATTTGCCACATTTCTGAAATTCGGTGCCACCCCTCACGCAGATCCGCGGGGTCAGGGTCCAAAAACACATGGGATTTGCCACATGTCTGAAATTCGGTGCCACCCCTCACGCAGATCCGCGGGGTCAGGGTCCAAAAACATAGGGATTTGCCACATTTCTGAAATTCGGTGCCACCCCTCACGCAGATCCGCGGGGTCAGGGTCCAAAAACAAAGGGGATTTGCCACATTTCTGAAATTCGGTGCCACCCCTTACGCAGATCAGCAGGGTCAGGGTCCAAAAACACAGGGGATTTGCCACATTTCTGGAAATTCGGTGCCACCGTTCACGCACATCCATCGCAAGGCGTGGTAACCCGAACTGCGAGAACTCCCTCGGCCCTTTAATCGCAAGGTGTGGTAACCAAGCCCGTAAACCATACACGTCTTACCAATCGCCAGGTGTGGTAACCCCTCTTGTGATCAGTTGGGTTTGCTGATTGCGAATCGGCTTCGCATGAAGTTTCGATACTGCTTCACGACAGCGCCAAGGCCTCATGACTTAGCTCTTCCATGGCCCATTCTCCGAGAGAGGGGGCCGGCGGCAGGGGGCGAAGCCCTTACGGATTAAAAGCTCCCTCTACTTTGATAGATTTCCTCCACGATGGCCGCAAGAGGCCCCCAGATGCCAAGAAGGCCGCAGGATTGCCCCAGATGGCCCCAAGTGGCCACCCACAGAGGCCCCAGGAGGCCCCCAAGAGACCCCCAAGAGGCCCCATGAGACCCCCCAGAGGCACCCAAGGGGCAAAGATGGCCCCAAGAAGCGCCCAGGAGGCCCCCAAAGGCCCCAAGATGGCCCCAAGAGGCCCCAAGAGGCCCCCAGGAGGCCCAAAAGAGGATCCCGAACGGCCCACAGGGCCCCCCCGAGGCACCCAAGACGCCGAAAAGCCCCTCAGGACGACCCTCTACTCGCCTGGGCGTCGTTTCTGGACGGGCCTGTTGGTGGGGAGGTTATATAAATATATTATATATATATATTATATTATATATGTGTAATTTATATATATATATATATATTAGATATTATATATATATATATATTATGTGTGTATATTATATATATATATATATATATATATATATATATATTCTCATACGCACCTCTCCGAGGGAGTAGAGCTCAGAGGC